GGATTTGAAAATTTCCGGCAATATCTCCTCGATTTAAAAATTTCGGATTTTTCAATTTCTATACTTATACTTTTTTACTCGATACTTTATTTGCATATTACTGGCTGTTGATATTTCAGGGACCTACTTTACCGACTATTAGTAATAAAATAGGAATTATTTAAATAAAAAAAAATGAATGTGGGCGGGATCGAACCCAGGCCGTCGGCGTGCGAGTCAAGCACGTTACCGTTGAGACAACGCGCTTATTATAAAATAATAATTTCATTAGTAGTATATGTTCAACATATTGAAAATTTTTTTTCATTTAAAATTCCATAAGATGTGGCTTCTCCTTTCCGCTCGTTCAAAAAATGAAATTCATCCCGTCGACCCCGTCAATCCTCTTTGGAAAAAACGAAGATTATAAATAATTGCACTGATTTTCTGATAACTTAATAAATGGGAATCATGCGGTTGTTTTTATTCACAAATATCTCGTTACAAAAATACCATCATTGTTGTTCGATCTATTTTCTGATTCTTTTCGAATTCATCGGTGCGTTAATACAAATAAGATAAAATGCCTTCACACAGATTAACGAGTTTATCACTCGACTTTTGCCTGAAAAATTCATGGATGAATTCCATTGATAAAATAATATTTGGGGGATCAATTCCTCCCCTGGTAAGATTCCCAGGTATGATAATCTATAAATACTGTCGATTTCACATCTCCAAGGCATTCTCATCGTATTTTTCAAACAGTTTAGGCCCATTTACATTTCCTGATCAATCTAATTGGTTTGTTCTTTCATGACTGCGATGATTATGTTGAATTATCTTACAATCTATGTATGAACTATAAATTATTGACTTGTTTTGTGTCCCTGAAATTGAATACTATGGCTCAACTGTTCCTCTCGTACCTGAGGCCACACCCAGCACTGAGAACACGTTATAATTTTCCATTTGTCCAATTGTTTCAATGAGTAACTGCATATGAAAAATGGAATATGTTTTCGTCAACTCATCACAACCGAGACAATTTTTACAACCATCCTCTTTCCCTGGAAAATTTTAACTCCATGTTATCGTGAGCAAACGAATTGTCATTAATTATCAACAGTTCATACAGTGGAACACAACTACGTACGTGATTTTCTATCGTAAAGTATTTAATTACATCAGTGGTTAATAGTTTTCGAATGCTCAATCAAATAACTCTGGGGGATTTCAATAAACGAAGTAATGACAATAAAATTATCTTACGCTTGGGTAGATGCACTCATTAAGTGGCTCAATTGTCTTAAGTAATTCGAATTAACAGAATTAATTGAAACACTTGAAGGGTTGCTACGCAATATTTATCAGCTTTATGTACACGCACAGTTTTCTCAGGTAATTATACTGTTCGGTATCGATTAATCTCGAATGTATACTTTGATTTCAATTATTTTATTTTATTACTGAGGAAGTACCGAGTTGTTATTTTATTATTCGACTAATTAAATGTCGATTCAGCAGAAAAACGAGTCGATTATTCGATACGCGTCACTCTATTTGGCTACTGAACAGTTCAATCACACTCTGCCATCATTTTAAAAATCAGATCTCAGGATTGATCGTCATTCTTTGCAAATGATAGCATTTCGATGGCACTTCCAATTGAAAAATCAAATGCCCTACAGGTACATTAATTAAAATGATAATACGAAATTGAAGGAAAATCGCATTTTAGTTGTCGTTAATTTTCGCACGCCATCGATGGAAGAAAATCCAAAATCGAGTTCGCCTAGTAACTAAAACAAATTAATAAAAGCCAGGTCAAAGATTTATATAAATAGTCCAATAATATTATAGTCCCCCATGCAACAAATTAAGAGATCAATGAAAACCAAAAAATGTTTTAAAATGGAAATTAAACTCAATTTATTACGTTGTACTTAAAAAATAATATCTGCATTTAATCTGAACTTCAACTCACGATAAATGAGTAGCTGTTGCAAATAAGTCCTATTTTATTCTAAGATCTTATTGATAAGGAAGAGATGATTGAGCAAATTTCAACATTTACCGAAACTTAAGTGGAATTGACGGGAATTTGTTGGAGCGATTTAGTGCAATTATTTGAGAAGTAAAAAAAAATTGAATATTCAAAAATACTGCAGCCTAGCTGGAGGGTAGATCTACTTTAAAGATTGTATTGGTTACCGATAATAGTTGGGTTTGAATGGGCCGGCTTTGTTGAGGCCCATGTACTTGGCCTGTTCATCCGTGAGTTCTGTCAGGTGAGCGTCAAATGTAGGCAGATGCAGAGAAGCCACGTACTCATCTGAAGGACACAAAATATTTTTATCACATTATTGAATAAAATATTGATTACAAACGTCAATGTCATCTCACGAGTGGTTTAAGCATTTTTTTCAATTTTGAGTAAATGCATCAGAATTGATCAAATTGAAAAATGAAAAATCCTCGCCTGAATTATTAATATTTTAATGCTTTTTATGATTTAAAAATAGAACTCCTTAGTTTTAAAAATTCAATTCGACAATTGAGTATTTTCCATGGGATTGTTTAATGTTTAAAAAATATTGCAGTGTGCCTCACCCATTTTCTTAGGCAGTAAATAAACATCGCTCTTGTAGCGTCCTGATGGGGCATTGAATAATTCAATAAGTGCTAGTGCTTGAGTGGCAGCTGTGATGGACACAACGAACGATGGAATACTTGAACAGGAGAGATTGACGAGACGTCCTTCAGCCAAAAGTACAATTCTCTTGCCATCAGGCCATATAACGTGATCAACCTGCGATCGCACTTTTTCCCAAGTTAAATCTGGAGTCCTTAAGCTATTCTGTTTGAAACAAAATGAAAAATTCATTAATTCCTCTTGATTGTTGATAGACAATTACCCTTAAGTATAATAATTTATTATAATAAACATACAATATCGATCTCGGTGTTGCTGTGTCCCATATTGCACACGACACAACCATTTTTCATCTTGTCCATGTGCTCACGTGTCACGACGTTTTTATTTCCAGTGGCTGTTATAACGATGTCCACATTTCTTATTACCTCGTTAAGTTTCATTACTCGAAAACCGTCCATACTGTACACAGAGAAAAAGCATTACACGCGTCGTTAAATTTTTTTAAATCGTAATCAATCATTTTTATTTCTATTAAAAATTGAGTATCATGCTTAAGATTAATTTCACACTAATCTCGAGTTGATTAAATCAAGTGAAAATTATTTCAATAACTATTTTATTGATTTAATCAATTTATTTAATTATACTCTGGCGTATGGCAATTTTTTTTTAAATCGAGAGGCATAGTTGGGGATTATGGTGACTCACCTAGCTTGTAGAGCACAGATGGGATCAATTTCCGTGATGTAAACAATACAGCCAAGACCTTTGAGGGCCTGACAGCAGCCCTTGCCAACCTCTCCATATCCACAAATGACTACCTGTTTTCCCCCGAACATGACGTCTGTAGACCTCTTTAAACTGCAAGACAATTTCATTGTATTAACAGAATTAATTAACTGGATTTACTACGAAGAATTATTATTTATTTTAATTTTAAATTATTCACCTATCGATAATACTCTCTCGACAGCTGTAGAGATTATCGAATTTGGTTTTTGTGACACTGTCGTTGACATTCATCGCTGGCACTGAAAGTTTCCCAGCTTTTGAGAGTTGATAAAGCCTGTGAACACCAGTGACACTCTCTTCCACGATACCTGAGGAATTAATTAATTTTATTATGAAAAACAGAATGAATATTATGCCGAGAGGATTTTTTCAAGACAATCCGTAATGTAAATTTTCAAAAATACCAAATTGACAATTGAACATATATTTTTCAGTAATCCAAAAAATTTTCCGGATTTTTCCGAAACCTTTGTACGTTTTAAGGCTCTGTGATGTTATTAGTAATCTGAGTGAAGGTTCGAATTACCTTGAATCATCTTGAACATGGCGTTGTACTTCTTAAGCATGAGATGAGTGGCATCTCCACCATCATCCAGAATCATATTAGGATGCCAATTCTCAGCTGCTATGCACTTGTCGATGCACCACCAAAAATCCTCCTCAGTTTCTCCTCTCCACGCGAATATGGGGTATCCAGCTGATGCTAGAGCTGCTGCAACTTCATTTTGGGTTGAATAGATATTGCAAGCAGCCCATCTCACTTGTGCACCGAGTTCCACCAGTGTCTCAATCAGAACAGCTGTTTGAGCATTTATGTGGGTGCAACCCACGATCTTGGCATTTTTTAAAGGCTAAAAAAATTTTTTAATATCAATAATAATACAATAATAATACAATATCTCTCTGAGATTGAAAAATTGTGCGATCCATTCGTTATCAATGGACAGTTAAGAGAAATGTATGGAGAGGCTTACGATAAATTCTCTTGTATTGTTTTTAATTAAGTTATTGATAAATAAAATAAAATACCATATCATCAGCTGCTCTTTTTCGTAGCGCCATGATCCCTGGCATCTCCTGCTCAGCAATCTCAATCTCTCGTCTTCCAAAGGCATGTTGACCGATATTTCTCACGCAGAAGTCTATGAAACCCTTGTCGGTTTTTTGAAATTTCTCCCGAGGCGATACGTCGTCCTCGTCCGATGAACTTCCTGTATAAGATGCTGAGATTCACCAGACGGTTGAAAATTTATCAATTAGTGAATCAGCGTAATCTACAGATGAGTTAGAATGATTTCTCTATCTACGCGGATTATTGGAGGCAAAATGGACTAGTCCGGAAATTTTTGAGGACTCAAGAGTCAGAAATTTATTTATTGAATTTATTAATTCGGTTCAATTCAAGTGGAAAATTTTCTAATTATCCATTTATCTCGAAAGGCATTGACTTCAAGAAAAAAAAATGAAAACACATTTTCCATCGGAAAATTAATGAGTGGAAAAAAATGCATGGAATTTTTTCTCGTTGAAACAACGGTCTTCGAGATAAATCGATAGCTGAATGTTAAATTCGATTGATAGCAGTCCGCCACTCAATAATTTAATGTTATCAATCATTGAAGGAGAAATGATTGATTCTGAAAATATGCTGTGTCCATTCTGCCTCCGCTATTCTCGTCAATGAATTGACACTAATGATTCGAGCACAGGGAATGCAATTGTTGGGAAAGTTTAGTTTCTATTCTCCTACCGGAACTGTAGCTGTCATTGCTGCTGGCTGATAACGAGCGACTCCGATATCGGCTGGACTTCTTCAACGCCCCGGATTTAGATTCCTAGGTTTTTTTTTCAATGCTTCCAGTTAATTTTGGCTCGTGGAGAGTCAGGGGAACAGTCGGAATTGATTGCCATGATTTTTTTAATTTACTACAAATAAAAAATAATGCGGAGTGCACTGGAATGCTGCGTGCAGTTGGGATACGTGATATCATTGGTGATAACGCAATGCTTGAGGGGAAAATTTTTATTCAATTCTGTAATCAAGGAAATTGGAATTTTTCGTTTTCTTAATTATCGATTTATCTCGAAAGCTATCAACTCAACATGAAAACAAAAAATTTTCCAATTTTCTTTTAGAATCGTCAGCTTTTCAGATAAAACAGAAGTTTTTTATTTTTTTTTATCAGTACCAAAGGCTGACCCAAAATTCATTCTGGGTGTTCATGAAAATAAATTCAATAATTTCTTTTGAAACATCGACACTGAATCAACGAGTAATTGGCTCAATGAAAAATTGAAAAACACTATTTCATGCATATGACGATAATCCACTGGAATATAATCCCATATCACACTGATAAGAAATGAGAAAAAATTTGAGTCATGCCCATAGGCACACAGGCATTAGAACGAAATGAAAAATAAAAAATCTTCATCGATATTTAATAGTAAATAAGTTAATCGCGAATATGGAAATAAAGCAATCCCCAAGGATGACGAGCATAATCTACATATGCAAATAAACAATGAGATTTTAGTCATTTGCTGTTGTAATAAATGTTTTGCTGAATTTTAATAGTTTTCTCATTACACAAATAATTACTCTTACTTACTAATTTTGTTCTCGGGCCGTGAAAGGCATTATTTGATGCCTCTAGGCTCTGAAATCACAACAACCACAATATTCATAATTCGGGGAGAATTTCATTAATCGTTCTGTCCAATTGACTTTTTTTTTTTCAATTTCTCACTCTTTGAGATGATGTCTTCATCACATCGTAATGACTTTTTTCTATTTTTTTTTCTGTTTTGATATAATGTATGAATTTTCATGTCGTGCAAATTATGTGGTACGTTATCTACATCAACTATTGACTAAACTGCGGAAAATAGTGATGCAGTAGAGGTTTTTGGATTTAAATTTACACGTGCCGTGAGAATAATGCTCTATATGTTTTTAAATAATATAAGCAAGTTGATGTTTAATATTTTTTTTGTTTTACTCAAGACCAGTGGCCATGCATTACACATGATTTATGAAGTATTGAGATTTATTCGATGATATCGAGTCGTCGAATTTGGTGAAACGTCCAAATTCCCACGGTTTACAATATATTTTTTTTTTCATCGAAATTTTAATAAATCTTAGAAAGAAATATTGACAGATTTTTCGGTAAAAATATTTGGATAATATTGCAATAAAGAGATAAAGATAAAATTCGTGTTATCTTCTTGAAAATGTAAATATCAATTTGGATTATCAATGAATTGTCGATTTGCCACGGAATTGTTGAAAAAAAAATAACACGTTTCACCATTTAACAACTGATATCCCCCCTGCAAGAATAAGATAGCAGATAGAATAGTACGACCCACCAGAGTATGAGAATATATTGATAATATTAATAACGAAAAATGAACAACTTCCAAAAGCATACGACACTCAAACTCGTGTTGTCGTCGTCACGTAACCCAGCAATTGCACTCAATTAATCAATAATAATGGCAGAACAATTAGAAAAAATGTGATAAACCATCTGTTGTGGTGGTCTGTCGTTCCATCCGATGCTAGAATTACGTAATTGTTGGCATCTGGCATGTGACAGAAAGTGACACAAGGTCCTAACAATTCGTATATTTAGAAGATAGATAGAGATATATAAAAATTAACGATTTTTCAGAACAAATAATCTCGATAACATCTAGATCATAAAATTCTCAACTAATCGTAAAATATAGATCGTTAAATTCATTTGATACCTCAACGGTGAAAAGTATTTTTTTTAGACGGTCCATAATGCGACCAGCTTAGCCGTAATCATGAGTTATTTATCGTATCAAATAGAAATATTTGGTATTTATGGTTATAATAATTGGTAATTGGTGGACGTACCTTGTTTGCTGCTGGATCTGTAACTGGAATATCACTGACATTTGTTCTTGATTCTTTTCTTGAGGTGCCAGTGTTTGGACCATCCCCGATGTCAGCCATCTTTTACTAACTTCACCACTGATGGCACACAATGGATTTACCAATCTCACATACATTCACTTCTTATATATGGGAGGAACAGCTGATTGGAGGGGCTTTCCAAAGAGTATTGAGTAGAGTAGAGGCGCACGTCTGGGGGTTGAGTGCCCCCACCCAAGTCGTAGTACCTCAACCCAAGAGAGAGGGGGCCACACGCAACGTTGGGGTGGGGGTATCTGCGCGTCAGTCGACTCTATTACCCCGAGTCGGTAACTGCCTCAGTAGCAGTCCCGCTGTCAGAGGGATCAGTCGACAGGGTGAATATTATTTTCTGCATGACAAAATTGGTTTTTGGTTTTTATTATGAAATTTCGAATTTTCACATTCCAGTAAATACCTCCTCCATTTTTATGCTCCCCTGGCACATTTTTGAAAATTTGGAATTTTTCAGTTCCAGTGAATACCTACTCGATTTTCATGCTCCCCTGATATTTTTTCAAAAATTTCGAATTTTATTTTATTTCAATTTTTCAAAATAATTTTAATCTAATTTCCAGAATTTATTTCATTATTTATTCGCATTTTTTAAACTGTTTATTGATCAGAAATACTCGATTTTTAAAAATGAAAATTTATTTTTAGAAAGATTGAATTATTAAGAGAAAGGCTCGAGTCGATGTAAAAATTCATAATCATAATTTTTAAACGTTTTATTAACAAAAAATAAATTCTTTGAGTTAACTTAATTGATACACTTCAAATATTCTATTGCATGAAATATCTACAAATGGGAAACACAGGATAAATAAAATATAGTCATCGTTTCGTTATGGAAATTCTCTATTCGTCTATCAATACAACAAATAGAAAATTACTGAGCAGCAGCTGCTGGTACAGCTGAGGCTGCCTGAGCCTGTTCCTCTCGAACTCTGTCTTTCTTGAGTTGTCCCATGAAGGAGGCCTTGTCGGCTGCCGTCTGGAAGCGACCGTGTCCGAATTTCGAGCTGGTGTCGATGAACTTGAGGTTGATCTTCTCCAGGGCAGCACGTTTCGTGTGAACGAGCAGAGACTGAAATAGAACAATTAATTTTCAATTTTCGTTTTTACCAGTTGACTCCTTGATTTTGTGAATGGAATGGCTCAGTCCTATCATTTAGAGATCACGAAGTTTTTCATACAGAATCTTAGGCTCTATTCTGTGTTCATCATGTTCAAAGAAATTATTAAAGTAGCTCGATCTACGTAAAATTTCAGGATTATTCAAAACAACAACATAAAAACACAAAACTCGGTTACATTCATAAAAAATAAATTTCTGATTTAATACTGATTGAAGTTTTATGTTTACAAAATTTGGAAAAATGCAAAGGAAGTTGAGCTACTTTCAATGATTTCGAACGAGTAAAGATATTTACCTTGCGGAGGGTGATAACCCGCTTCTTGGGGCCCATGCAGCATCCCTTGATCATGATGAAGTCATTGTTGACCTCTCCATAGTGGGGGAAACCTCCCATTGGAGTGATGGATTTCTCGGTGAGATCGTACTCAGTTGAGGCGTTGTTTTTGATTACCTAAAAAATTAGAAAAACAACAATTGAAGTATTTCCTCTACAGAATTTAATGCAATTGACGTGATCATTTGATAATTGGAGTAAAGATGTTGCTTGATTGGAGGCCCAGAGTAACACAAAATTACCCTGGGTACTATGTACAAGCCCTTTCAATCTGGCCTAATCAATGATTAACAGAAAAATCAATCCCACGAAAATGGGAATCGATCCATTGAAAGGCTTTTCTGTTGATAGGGGACAGGATTTTACCTTTCCATCCTTGGTGTGGATTCCCTGACCAATTCTGTAGATCTTCTTGTTCATCTCGGTACGGTGGTGATAACCCTTTTGACCAGCACGTGCCACAGTGAAGGATACTCTGCTTGGATGCCATGCACCAATACAGGCAACCTTTCTCAAACCCTTGTGAGTCTTGCGCGGGAGTTTCTTCGTGTGCCAACGTGACGTAACACCTAATTGCGTCAATTAAAAAATATTATTTTATTAATACCTTTCAATTATTTGGAATTTTTTTTTCTCTTTAAAATCCTTCGCGTTTGAATTTTAAAACCATTTTATTATGAACGTGTTATGGTGAACGTCAGTAGGAAGGCAGCATGATACTATCCTCAAAGTTCTCGGAAAAGGCACAACATGCTTTCATCACAGTCCACAATAATCACAAGAAAAATTCCTAATTTTAAATTTTTTATGAAAAATTTGAATAAATAAATTCACCTTTGTATCCTTTTCCCTTGGTGACACCGATTACATCGATCATCTCATCAGGAGCAAAGACATTGGTGATTGGGACTGGTTTCTCCAGGTGTTCACGTGCCCACTGGACTTTCTGTTCGATAGTACCACCGTTCAATTGGATTTCCATGATGTTTGCCTTCTTCTGGCGTTGTCTCAACAACTTCATCTGCAAACAAACGATTTACTCGATTAATTATGTGTTTAAGACAATCAACTATGTGATGATAATTAATCTCGATCCATCCTCGGACACCTGGAGCAGAAATAATTAACTGAACGATTGATTACCTGAGTGTGAGCAATAATTCTGACGACTTTGCAGTATTTAACAATCTTCTTGAAATCCTTCTCAATGGACTTGCGTCCAAGATCGTCCTGCCACTTCTTCGAAGCCTTCGTGAAAGCCTTCTTCTTGCTCTTGTACCTACACCCAAGAATTCATGAACAAATCCATTTTTCGGATGATTAAACTCGTGGTATCATTGGCTCAATCTGTAACGTGCCAGTCTCATCATTTATGGAGTAAACGAGAGGAGACTGGACACATTTATCGGATCAGCCATTCTATGGGTATTAATTATCAAATCCTCAATTGGCTAGGTCCAACTTGTGACTCTCATCTTGCGAGCGGAGAGCTTCAGTATCGATATTCATTAATATTTTTGTTTGTTGTTGATGATTACAGAGAATACTATCGAAATTTACCAGTTCTTGTAGAAACGCCTGCGACAGTCCTCGGAGAGGTGCTCGGCCCAGACAGTCGTGAGGGCACGAAGACCGTGGGGTGTCTCGATGTATCCAACCACACCCACCACCACCATCGGTGGAGTCTCCAGGATCGTTACTGCCTCCACAATTTCTTTCTTGTTCACCTCTAGAATGAACCAGATGAGATTCATCGGTAAGAATGTTGGATGAATAATTTTATTCTACATCAATTTTTTTCAATACCAATTATTTGGATTATTTTAATCTGTACCAGGCATGGTTTGTCTCAATGGTCTCTGTCCCATGGACTACCAAGAGTTTATGGAATATGCCGTGCCCCCGTCAACCCCGTAAGGGGGACAGAGTTTATCTTCGACACTGTGGCTTTGAATTTACTGCACAAGATCAAGCAGCTCGTAACCACAACTCACGACAGACAATGCATTTCTGCATGTCTCTCGAGAGTATAAGCGTCGATTATCCGTTTAATTAATTAAATTATAGCACAAATTATTTCAAGGAATCTTCAATTTTCCCTCACTATTTTTTATTCTCCCCTGAAGAAATTTATTGAAAACACTGAGAAAATTAAGCAGAATGAAAAATTTCAAATGTCGTTGCCACGTGGTAGCAATTTTCGATGGAAAATACCAGATTTTTTTCTGTGGAACACTCACTTGAACCAGGACGATCTGCTTCACGAACAACATGGGTCATACCAGCTTTGTACCCAATGAAGGCAGTCAGGTGGACTGGTTTGCTTGGGTCATCCTTGGGGAAGGCCTTTACCTTACCACGATGACGCTGCGACCTCTTCTTGGGGTAGAACCCCATGGACCCGTGACGGGGAGCACTGAATTTTCGGTGAGACTGAAAAATAAAACATGCAACAATTACAATATACGAATTATTTGGATGGAGATTAATTTAACTCTGTGAATATTTCAGACCGCCCTAGAATAATATCTTCATGGATTATCAGTTTAAACCATAAACTATTTTATCTAAATCATCATGTGGTGATTTTTTCTCTTTCTTCATGAACTTTAAATTTTGAAAGTAACAGCAATGAGTAAATATTCAATATTCCATGCTCAATTTGATTTTAGAAATTTTTCAACCCGTGGCAGTTGCCATGTTGCCATGTGGGGGGTTCGTCACAGCGATTCGAAGTTTTCAATTTTCTGATTTGTGGATATTGGTGGATGATCGAGATAAATATTGACACGGGATGAACGATTGTTTAATAAAGATTACGATTAAATTATTATTTTGCGTTATTCATCGAAGATGGGGGTTTTTGACACGGATGGAAAATTTTATCAATCGAACTCACCATGATGCGATCCCCGGAGAAAATGGAAGAATTCAACAAGCCGATTTGAGTTTTATACCCCAGAAAGATGGCGCCATTCGGTCCTAGTCATACCAACTTAAAATTTGTAGTTTCATGGAAATTGAATTCATTATGAAAATAATTTTTCAAGAGTTCATTATTTTATTATCAATTTATCGTAATTACAAAAGGAAGAATGAATTCAAATATTTATGGATAGATGCAGTTTAAATAGCTCTAACAACTCAGTTCAATTATTAAAAATTTATTATTCGTTACGCAAAACCAATTCATTCTGGTTTTTCAGGGAAAGATACTTTAGGCTTATTACTCAGATTTTCTAATTCAGGTTTAGATGATTTATTGGATCTCAGGACAGCCCCTGGACTAGGATAAGGACGCATTTGGTAAAGTGGTCCTGACGCTGTTGTATCCACCCCGGTTTTAGCTTCATTGTGTCGTGCCAGACCGTCTGACCATTTCCCCCTGTTTCGACGAACAATGAAAGATAATTAAGATTATCAAGAATGAACGCAAGAAAAACAAAAATTATTCTACTATTTTCCATTTATTAAATTATACCTTGGAATATCACTGTAGGAGGCTGGATCCATGGGATCCAGGCTACGATCCTTTTTATCTTTGGACTCTGGTTTATAAGATTTCTTTGCCTCTGGCACCCTGAACCGATCTCTGTTCGATGCTTTGTGTTCTCTTCTTGTTTCTGTTTCCTCCACCTGACAAAATTGATATCCCTCTTGAAAAAATTCATTTTCGTTTTTTTTCAAAAATATTTTCCGGCACTAGAACAACATATTCACCTCCATGGGTTCCTGATCACTTCCACTTTCGTCACTGGACATATTGTCATCCTGATCAGCAGCTTTGAGGTGCAATTCCTCCCTCAATTGTGAGGCTGGTTGGGATATTTGGCATTTGGGGTGTCCTGGTGGCAACCAAGACACTAAATCCGATGACCAGTCCCAGTAGTAGTGCTGTCCACTGGAAAATCGTTGAGATATTCAGAGATTGTTGGGGACAGCTGCATAAAACCTAATTATTGGGGTTCAACTTACGACCCTGGATCGTAGACTGCCTTCCACGTCTCAGGTAATGGATATTTCTGGATGAGTTTCATCTGATGTTTGAGATACTTCTCTGAAGGTTGTAATTGTCCAGTTCCCCACAATTCTTTACACTTTTTCGTGCACTCGTGGTAAATGTTGTATTTATTAGGGCATCCACTGTACCCCTGCGAGAATATATAACAATGAATATAAATAAATTATATAGAATTCAAGCACTGATAATTATTCAAATGAGACGAATTCTAATGTGACCAGAATCAAATGTCTCCTTCGGAAAAAAAACTTAAAAAAAAAGTGGGTTGATCAATTAATTAATACATCAACTTATCAATTTATTCAATGGACTACCCAAATTATTGAACAACTCACCATGAACTTCTCAGATATATCGATCTCGTTAATGTCATCCTTGGCATTGTCATAGTCCTCAGCAATCACCTCTTCATGCACTTTCTTCTTAAATTCTTTTTTTGAATCTATAAAATGAATAATTAATTATTGATTTTATTTCAATCACTGAATTAATGGCGTAAATTTCATAAAATTAATTATATAAATTAAAAACCCACAAACGCTACTTGGTCCATTCCAGGTTAATAATTTGTTGATAATTACCATTTTTATCTGATCCTGTAATGAGACCTCGTTTTGCTAATCTAGCAGCTAAGGCAGCAGGCAAGGGCATCTGTAATTATTTATTGTGGAAGAATCTCCTCCAACCGTTATTGAAAAAAAATTTGATTAGTTATGAATGTTTTCTTTTTGGAAAATTCTTTCCGACTCCGTTGCACCCTCAAGATGAATATCCATGTGACGACCACGCGGGAAAAGGATAATTCTTCAAATCAATAAACAATTTTTTTGCTGATTTGACAACAGGAAAGACTTCACGATAAATATTTTTTAGTAAATAAATTTATTCAATGATCTCATCATCTTCACAGCCACTCCCTGCTAATTCCTCCTCGGAATTCTCTCCACTGCCAACGAATGTCTCTTCATCAACAGTGAAAGCTACCCTTTCTCCAATAGCCATCCTGATGGAGAGCCTTTCCTGAGGCTCCATGTCTCCGATAGCATCTCTCTCAGGACCTAATCCCGCCTTGACCCTTCGAGGCAGTGGAACAGGCAGTCGATGTCTCACCTCATCTGCTCTAGGCAATGGAGGTGGCACAGGAATTGCCTCACAAAATTTATCTTGACGTAAGTCTTTTCTATACCTCAGTAAAGCCTTTGCCTCTCTCTCAGACATACTCCTGTATTTATCCACGAGGACCCCCTTCAGTTCTCTCATAAAGTTCCTCTCCAGAAGTTTATCCATCTTAGCTCTCTCCACATCGCCATCGTCGTCCTGACAGAGTGGTTTCAAGTACTCCTCTCTGATGTATTCCTCGAAACACTCATCCATCACCTGTGGATCAGCATCAAAAATCACTGGCAGTTGCTTTCTCTCCTCTGACTCTTCAGGTTCTCCATGAGGAATTTGAGGTTCTCGATTATTCTGCAGTTTTTTCATGACCAGAATATTGAACTCTGCGAAATCTCGAGCTGTATCCAATTGCTTGTACGCCTCATTCATTCTCAAGACTAATGAATCAACGGAATTTGGGGTTTCGTCAGTAGAAATATTGTCGATATCCTCCAGAATCGAGGAGACAGTGGCGTAGGCGGTCTGAAGCTTCCTCGAGAGTAAATCCACGTGCATGTAGAGTTCTCGATACTTCAGGCTCTCCGTTCTCTTTTTTCTCCTAGGAATGGTGACTGTTTTCGATGACTGGTACTTTTTTATTACAGAAGACAATTTCTCCTCGTGATGTTTTAACGTCCTTTGAAGGTTGATGATGATTCGGGATAGTTTGAGTTTCATTCCCCGATTGGTCAAGCCACTGAGAACCACTGATAAGACATTCATCATATCGGACTGCGTGAGAATGTACGTGTAATAAAATTGCTCCAATTTTTTGGACGTTATCTCCCCCTGAATTTTAAGGCTATCATCTTCCAGTATGTTTATTAATCTCGTTGAGTCCAGAGGAATGGGCGAAAGGTCAATCACCGAGTGAGACGTTTTGTAGAATGTCCTGGAGCAATGCTCGATGCATCTGCACAAGTCCTCGCAGAGCGGCTGCAGGTGCTGGAGTCTATTGAGTTCTAATTCTGTGAATTTTCTACGAGAAGGATTCGAGTCTAGTGTCATTCCGTATCCGTTCCGCAGAATCTTTAGGGATTTCTTCTGTAGGTGGAAGAGATTATTCTCGGTTGATACGAGATTCTTCAGGTTTCGGAGGAATGATCTCTCTGAATATTTTTGGTAGACTGTCAGGGTCGAGAGGGAAAATGCTGTGATGAATCCAGGGACTCGCAGATCTGGGGAGAGGAGCAATCCAGCGAGCATCAGTGATCCTGAGAGGATCCTCCAGCTGGGGGTGTTCGAAAATTCTGAATCCTCACGACTTTTCAAAATTTCCTGAATACATGATGAATGATCGTCCAGGAGAGGTTGTAATTGCAGGATTATCTTCAGCTCTTCAGTTCCGTTCAATATTTCTCTATCTTCGGATTTACGAAAAAAATAATTTCTGATGCACTGGAATGCATTCAAAAGACGAGAGCAATTATATATTCGCCTCTGACTTTTGGAATCATCAAGGTGTTGCCAATCGTCAGGAAATCGCGTTCTATTTACAAATGTGCATTCGAATTCTGGAACTCCGATTCGTTTCAGGGCGATATAAAGTTCACTACCCTGAAAAATTAATATAAAAATATAGTGTTTAATTGCAAATGCCATATTTTATTCGGTAATTAGTTGAACATTTTTTTAACAATGAAGTACCTCTATGACGACATCTTCCTCAGGATCATCTCCGTCCATCATAATTAATTTATTGGGTATCGCAACATTGACTTCAGTAAATGCATAAATTATTCAATTGAAATATGAATATTCAAGCCCTTCGAATTGCACTGGGTAATCTTAACTCTGTATGATGGGAGCAAAAATTCAAGAACCTCCAGGGATTGCTTTTTGGCAACAAAAATTCCTGAAGGGTAATTTCCATGTACAGCTTAGAACGACTCGAAAATCCCTAGAATCCATTGATATTTCGTTTCCGCCGGAGATTTTTCTGCTGTACGATTTCTCACGTCCTGACCGGATTCATTCCCCCAATCGTTATACAGCAAAATACGGGAGAAATGGCAGCTCCCATGGATTCTGTGAGGGAAAAAGCCCTTCAAGATTACAGAAAAAAGCTCTTGGAGCACAAGGAGGTGGAGGCTCGGTTGAAGGAGAGTGAGTTCAAAACTTTCTCTAATTTTTATTTGCTAAATTTTGGTTTTTCGATCTGGAAATTTTCGGGGTGTGGGGTTAACCTTTGTGGGCATTTCGAGTCTGTCATTTTTTTTCTTTTGGATACTTGTTTAATTTTTTCGTTGGGATACACTTTATTTTTCTCTGAATAATATTTATAAAAATATGTTGAGAATTTTTTGTGCTTTTCATTGAGTTTATATTGATTTATTTTTATGTTTTTTTAGTGCGGGAGCATCTGAAAGACCTCACGAAACAGTACGATAAATCTGAGAATGATCTGAAGGCTTTGCAGAGTGTGGGACAGGTACAATTAACAATAAAAATCACAATTATTTGTTATTTATTTCTTTGACTATAAAATTTGAAGAGAGTTCATTAAAAATTGTTATTATATAAGAGTTCCTTCAGTCTTTAGGAGTAATTTGAATTATAACATATTTTTTATAAGTCTCCAAAGATCTGATCGATTCGGTAAAATTGTCAAAATGATTTTTAAATCATACACATGCATTCTTATAATTGCAGATTGTGGGAGAGGTTTTGAAGCAACTCACTGAAGAAAAATGTGAGTCAGGAGAAATTCTAAATTCTTCTCAATAAGTTATGAGATAAAATAATTCACCAATTTTTTATTCTAGTTATTGTAAAGGCAACGAATGGTCCTCGTTACGTAGTGGGCTGCAGACGACAGCTGGACAAGAATAAACTGAAATCTGGGACCAGAGTAGCTCTCGACATGACGACATTAACAATCATGCGTTATTTACCTCGTGAGGTGAGCGCTACGCATCCTAAAGACATGTTAACTCTTCGTAGAATCAATTGACTCTCATATTTACATTTTAAAACATTTGAAAAAATCAATCAGGTCGACCCTCTAGTCTACAATATGTCCCATGAAGACCCAGGGGATGTGACGTACTCAGCGATTGGAGGTCTCAGTGAGCAAATTCGTGAGCTTCGAGAAGTCATAGAGCTTCCTCTATTGAATCCCGAGCTGTTCCAACGAGTTGGCATCACTCCTCCCAAAGGATGTTTGCTTTATGGTCCCCCTGGTACTGGAAAAACCCTCCTGGCACGTGCCGTTGCCAGCCAGCTCGACGCAAACTTCCTCAAAGTCGTTTCCAGTGCTATTGTTGATAAATATATTGGAGAGTCTGCGCGCCTGATTCGTGAGATGTTCAATTATGCTCGTGACCATCAACCCTGCATCATCTTCATGGATGAAATCGATGCTATTGGTCAGGATTCTAATGCTACATTATTATAATCATCTCAGGTTTATAGATTGATTTACTGAAAATTATAGGTGGCAGAAGATTTTCGGAAGGCACGAGTGCAGATCGTGAGATCCAGCGGACTCTCATGGAGTTGTTGAATCAGATGGATGGATTTGACTCCCTCGGTCAAGTTAAAATGATTATGGCAACGAACAGGCCCGACACACTGGATCCAGCCCTTCTTCGTCCAGGGAGACTGGACAGAAAAATTGAAATTCCATTGCCCAACGAACAGGCGAGGCTCGAGATATTGAAGATTCATGCTGCACCCATCGCCAAGCATGGGGAAATTGGTAAGAGATAATCCATTAATCAGTTCATTTATTGATTCATTATTACTCTTTCTTTGTCAATTCCACTGAAAATTATGTACATCTCCCTTTAGATTACGAAGCAGTCGTTAAACTGTCTGACGGTTTTAACGGGGCAGATCTACGAAATGTCTGCACCGAGGCAGGCCTTTTTGCAATTCGTCTGGAACGCGAATATGTTATTCAGGAGGACTTTATGAAAGCTGTGAGAAAAGTCTCAGACAACAAAAAACTCGAGTCCAAACTTGACTACAAGCCTGTTTAATAATATCGTTTCTCGGTTACTACATTTTTTTTTTCGCTCATGGTTATTCGTAACTAATTCAGATTATTCGTGATGAAACAATTATCAGAATGAGCCTTTTGCTATTTGTATTTAATTGGAGAATTTCGTATTAAAATATACAAATAAATAAATAGATGAATATTTCATAAATCTCGTACGATTCCTCATCCTGCATTCGCCCCAATAATTATAATTATCCAATATTATAATAATATTATCACAACGACAAAAATACTGAAACTTATTTTTTTCTTTAATCGAAAGTCAGTAGAAAAATACAATAAATAAATTTTCAAGCAGAAACTTTCAATCTTGACTTCTTTCTCTCTTGGTATTCCTGAACATTATCAAATTTTCTTTTGTACAAAATCGGGAAATAAATTTGTTTGCTAGCACTGGCCCTTAGTTCTTTCCACCTGTCATTGAGTTTTCCCAGAGCATTATTGACTTCAGAGTCTGGGAGAAAAGTCCCCTCTAGACGATAGGCTTTAACTCCCCAATCGAGGAGAATCCACAGTTTTCCCCCAGAGAGAATCATCTCCAGAGGTTCTTCGTCTTCAACGATTGTCTGTAGGAACTCTACATCAAGGTCTTCATGAACTTGATAAACCAGGAGGAGTCCAGACCCATAGAAACTGCTGACCATAATGGATTCCCGGGGAGAGTCTCGGATTTCCTGGAGTGCAAGTCTTTTCACCGGGAGATTTCTCACTGCCTCCTGCAGCTCTAAATCCTTCAAGTCCTCATTGAGTCTCTCCACGAGGCCCTCCTGGACCTTCTCCATAAAATTCACAGATTTTAATTCAGTCCCATCAACGTAATTCCAAAATCTAAAGGTGCCATCACCCCCGGCTGACACCAGGACTCGTCGGTCATGGGGCAGTTCCAGAATATTACTGACAAACGTCGTGTGTCCCAGGCAGAAAGACTGAATACTATAGGAGTTGGGGAAATTCGAGATTCGGATTTTCTCGTCTCTGTCTGCTGTGATGATGAATCTCTCGTCCTGGGAGACCACAATGTCCAGGAGCATCGATAGGTGTCCAAGGATTAAATCTCCAGAATTTCCTGGATTACTCGTAGAAAAAACGTATGCATCACCGGATTTATCAGCGACGATTACATCATCTTTTGGAGTGAATTTAACGCGACTTGCTGCTCTCACCAGAGTCCTGTTGGATAATAGTGACAGGTCCTTGGTTCTGTAAAGGCACAGTTGTTTTTTATTTGTGCAGATACCGAAGTAATCACCACGAGTTGAGAAGGATACCGATGTTATTCCCTGGAACGAGTCCATCGAATTGTTGTGAGGAATTGTCTGCTTCTCCAGAGGCTCAGGGAGGATCAGCTTCTCCAGGGATTTCTGGGGAAGACTGAATTTCAGGATTGTTGAGGACGTACATAGAATTAGCGTTGAATCAAATACTGAGAAGCTCATGGTGGTTTGGAGGTTAGGAGATTTTACTATGGGTTTTCCTATATAATAAAAGAGATGGGCCATTAATCGAACATGGCGGATCTCATGGGGATAATCGATAATTTTTCATTCGATTCGATAATCGAAGAAGACCCCTGATCTGACATGTGATAGGTGATCCTATATAAAAAGCAGAGCACTGTCATGGCGCCCACCACAAGTGTCATGGCGCAACGCTCATGGGCCCTGTGCATTTTTTTAGGGTGAATTCACACGAGCAGTGGTCACAAATGCCGTCGCGTTAGCGAACGAAGTACATATTT